CGTGAATCGTTTCAACTTTGGTCCAGTATTTGACTTATCACTTTATTTAATTATCACGATTGGATGACTAATTTACACTTTGTTAATGAATCTCATGCGCCCAGTTATGCATGATTGTCCATGTCTATGCTAAATATTTTAATGATTCTCCATTCACCCTCTTGAAACTCCCTAAGCGTTAATGAACGTTCGTTCGCGCTAAAGACAATGCAGTTTCGCTTGAGTGAAAGTTCCTTCGCGGTTAATGAACAGCAAAAGGTGTATTAGATGTTGAATCAAGTAAGGTTTCTTTTGTTTTGCTCTTTATTAGTATGGTCATCTTGGAGCGCATGGTCATGTAAATGCGGTGTTGCAACACGCACCAGGACCTGTTTAATAGATAAATGCGTGGGGCCCACCCAAGAAACAWCGAGTTGCAGTAAGTTTAAATAAGACATTTATAACTTMATGGAAAGAAGCAGAATGGAGTGTCTTCATTTGTTCGTATTCTGCTTCCTTCACTACTTCTTCACRCTTCCATCTCAGCTGTTCCCTGATTTTTACATTAAAGACCCCCGCACATCCGAGACACCTTTGCGGCAGTTTTATAGACAATCTCTTGATGAAAGCTGTTTTTTGATTGGTTCAAAATCAAAGGTGACGAATTTTCGCTCAAATACATCAAAGTTGTCGGATGGACATTAAATGTTTCATAAGTGAAAATGGCCTAGACTTCTTGTAGTTCATGAGCAGCATATTATCTGAAAGAAAAAGCAATGCACTTTTAAGTGTATTTGCATTTCCTGCATTCTTTTTTTTAAGAGCATCCCCGGTACTTTTTTTTACACACGTTTGTAACTTCTCAAGCGCTGATCTATCATGTCCATTTCCACTTTAATCACCAGATCAGCGCTTGAGAAGTTACAAACGTGTGTAAAAAAGTACCGGGAATGCTCTTAAAAAAAGATCCCTAAAAGACCCAGGAAGTCTTGAAAAAGGGCTTGGGTGATTTTAACCCCTATGAGACTACACAAYAAATATTTTTAAATTAAATCAGTTCAAATGACAAAAACGCAGAGGAAAATCGCCATCGATGCWTTCTTTGTCTTCTTTTYCGACACCTTAAGAGAATGCAGGAAATGMAAATTYCCAGGAATTACTCCAAATTGGCACTCCTAAAAGATTCYCAATCACGCTTAATCCTTTGATATACTGCARGAATTTCGCTTTTTCCTTACCSGAATGTCATTTAAAATATTTACTGTGTTTTTATCCACATTGTATTTCAGCATATCCAAGGATCATGACAACAGCAGGGAGGCAGTGTGTCTTTCCATTCACGTACAGAGGTGTCTGTTACGACGCCTGTACCACGGTGGCCCATRGTTTTCCCTGGTGTGCGTATCACCATAACTATGTTGGAGGRCAATGGGGAAACTGCCCATAAACCATAAGTCCAAGAAAAAACAATTATAAGTTATTACAATGGCTACTATAGGGCTACTATACTATAGGTGCCATTTTTTCGTGGGTCTGTACTCTGATATATACACCGAAGACATCAAAACTAATTGAATATTTGGACAAATAGAGTTTTTATGTTTAAAAACTGCCGCTTTACTTATTATCAGTTCATGAACCGTGTTATGCCCATGYCCCTAAGTAATTGTACATGATCGGTCTCTGGGTCGTTACATTAAATTGTAGTGAACTATCCGTAATATAGTTATATAGTTATTATTCCATATGCGGTTCACAAAGTCAAGTACCCACGAGGTATGCACAGCGATATTAGTAGTTTTACTCAAATTCTGGATAGAAAAACGTCGGGAGAACGGCGATTGGAGAATGCACGCCCGAAAGGGACTATTGTTACACTGTTTTGATTTTACTTATTAGATTCACCTTGCATAGGAATGGAGACTAAATGGAGCCAATATTTTCCACAGACCATTTTAAAGTATCAATCGGTTGTTATTGCCTTTCAACTAGCAAAACCCATGACTACTTTCGGTCGTACAATCGCCGTTTGACCATTGGCATTCGCCATTTTATCCGACTTTTTGAAATAGCTAYATGTAGTCACGTAAACATAACCCGTATATACACCTGGTGGATTCATGTCCTWGYCAGAGCRTAGAAAGCATTTGTATTTTTTGGTAAGACACAGTAAATATCTTGAAAAAGTAAATTTTTTAGTCTTATAGTCCATTTGCCAAAAACGTTGGGACAAGTTACTGTTAGATCCTTTTCATTACTTTGAGAAGACATCACCTGTGACGTCGTACTTATACAACTCGTGACTATTGCGGGGAAGCAGGTGACTTGCTTAAACGAACGTCTGCTGCCAGCCACTGTCACTTTGCACGACTTGTTGAAGAAGAAAGATTTACTTTCCGACTTCACCATTTTGACAACAAAATAGATGGATTTCAACTCAGCAGTCTACTTAGCTGCATTCGTCTTCTTGCTKTATGTCCAACMAAGCTTCAGTTTCTATACTCGTGAGGCAGGACTCGTTTTCGATTTCTATCCAGAAGAAAARCTTTCCCTTCCTAACGATTTGCATGGCATTGAACCTAACAAGTCGGTCAGTGTTCAAGACAAGATGGATTGTGTGTTTGCTTGTATTAATCATCCCTGGTGTCGTTCGGTGAATTTCCAGACCACACTCCTTAAAAGTGGTCTATACTTTTGTCAGCTTTTAGCATATGAGCGGTTCACGCGCAAGAAGTACATGAAAAGAAACAAACTTTATCATCACTACAGCATAAAGGTAAAGTATACTCCTTTTAAAAAATATATCACTATACGATGCAATATATATTTAAGAGAGTGCTCATGTAATATTACGCCAGTCACTCATATACTCACTTTTACACAAGCAATTTTCCTTGACAAGGAAAAGTTGCTCGTGTAAATGGGTTAAAATGAACAATGTTTCCTTGACAAGAAAAAATTGTCAAGGACAAAATTTAAAGTAAAGGTAAAGTATACTCCTCTTAAAAATATATCACTACACGATGCAACATAAAGTTAAGAGAGTGCTCATGTAAAATTACGCCAGTCACTCATATACTCACGTTTACACAAGCAATTTTTCCTTGACAAGGAAAAGTTGCTCGTGTAAATGGGTTAAAATGAACAATGTTTCCTTGACAAGGAAAAATTGTCAAGGACAAAATTTGCTCGTGTAAAATGAACAACAAGGAAAATGTGACAAGGAAGAATTGTCAAGGAAAACTTGTTCTTCGCCTTACATTACCAAAGAAACATTGTCAAGGAAGAATTGTCGAGCAAAACTTGTTGACCATTTACACCGGTTATTTTTCCTTTTCAAGGAAAAATTGCTCGTGTAAACGCCGCTTTACCCCTACATGTCTGCTAAATATGAGCTGATTCTGAGATTTTAGGTTTATCAACACCTGCCATGCCTGGTTCTTAAATCGACACAAATATTCTCTTTTCATACCTTTTCGTCTTCATTTACACTATGGCAAGGATCCGGCGGGGAAAAAAGTTTAAAGGAAAAGTGTTAGCCCAAATGAAGAAATACCTATAGGATAAGGTATAACCTGTAACATTTGGATCGACTTGTGATCTATTTTTACAACTTTATGAGATTCCTACAATCATGCCATCTTGCACATAACATGAGCCATTTAGAATGATATTTGCGGCGTTTTATTGCATGCTGAATAAGAAAGGTGTTCAAGACAAAACACCTTTAGTTTCTACTAAATTACAAAGGATCTTTTGATTGTTAAGACTAAGAATGGTATCCAAGGTTTCAGTGAGATAACATGACAAAATRGGCCGTCATTTCATCGTCTCAGAATTCACTTAACAAGCAAGMGTTTGTTTGGATAGCCACGGCAGAATTTCCCTGTATCCAAATACTGTTATTTTCCTAATTCAAATTCCATTATATTGTTATCCCCTAGAGCTTTTTTTTTATTTTTTCGACAAGAAACCAGTCATGGTGCTATATAGTGCCATGAAAGAAGAAGGAAAAAAAACAATGCATCTCGATATTTCAGATTTAAAAAAAATGCTACTCGTCGGAGGTATTTTTAAATACCTTAAAAGCAAACAGGAAAATTAAAATGATGCTAATTGTAGTCTTGTCACTAACACAGTTTTCGATAAGTGAAGTATCAGTTTCATACTCGTTTCAAGTTCCCGTTCACTGGAAAACAATCACGCTCTTGAAAGGTTGTAAATTTGATGGAAATATGTTGTATGTGTCCAAAAATTTAATGTAAATGATTTACATCAAATTTACATCATTTTGGACACGTACAACGAATACAACAAATTTACAACCTTGCACGCGTTTTTTTCCATTGTTTTTTTGAGCAGCAAAATCGTCCAACTTGTCTCGCAACATTGCTGCAAAACAAATTATAAAGAGAATGCTGCGCGTTTTACTACCGACGAACCAAACACAGCAAAATTCACAGCAAAATTTGTTGTAGGTTGAGCAAATCGTTATTTCTGATTGGCCAATGCAGTCAGCTGCAACGTCATTTTGATACTAGACAAGTTAGGTTGTTGTGGTAATATGCACAACATCGATGAATTTTGCTGCGASACAAGTTARTTGGTAGGCCTGTAGCAGTACGCACAGCATCGCCTTCCAACATGTTTTGAAGCAATGTTGCGAGAAAATTTGGACGATTTTGCTCCCCCTATTACCGTACCTTTAATTTCGGAATTCGCTAATTCATAAAAGGTAAGTATATTTTTTTCTTTCATGACGGTGAAGAATCCTTGCCAAGAGAATCCTTGTCGTAATGGCGGTGAATGCATTTTTCAAAGCAACAGACAAGAATACCATTGTAACTGCACGACGGACTTCATGGGACAACAGTGTGAGACAGGTATGGTGAGCCTATTTGCTGCGGCGCTATGTTTATTAAAACATTTGTGTGTGTGTGGGGGGGGGGGATTTGTTCAAGAGACGGACTTTTTCGCAACATTTTTACATAAGGGGGATCTATTGTAGCTCCAAAGCAATGAAGACGAACCAGAAATGCATGCCATGTCATGGAAGCTGTACCCGAATACCGAGGGCTCATATATATGCACTTGTAAGCCTGGTTACCCTGTTCAAGTAACAAGATAGACCATGATACATTGCAGTTCTGCAGCAGCGCAATCTGCTGACCACACGTTTCACTTACCCTTTCGAGGTCATATATATAATATGTGTTTTATAACCAATTAATTAAAGAGTATTCCTTGCATCTGATGTGTCGTTCTGTATCAGTCCAAATATGGTCATCCTGGAGTGCTTGGGAGTCCTGTGACTGTGGCATGACCTCGCGTAACAGRTCGTGTCAAATAGACGCATGTGTGGGGCCCATCCTTGAGAAGAAGAATTGCAGTATGGGTAAGTTCACTACTGAATGATTGAGTAGGATCTCTCGTCATTCTTCCATATATGGATTTACATATATAGGGTAACTGACGTACGTACAAAGGCCTCACATTGAAGCTCCATTAATTATGTATGCWATCTTATGTACATAATAATTACCACAAACATTCAGGTTCACTCGAGCGAATTGAACTCATGGTTTAATGGCTAGGTTTAGTAGACAAAACATATTCTTAGGCTGGTTCGATCCAAATGCTCTTCTTTTAAAAAAAAATTATTTTCAGTTTAAGTTTAAGTCTTTTAAAAAATTTCTAAGTTCTTCTACACATARTATGTACATGAGAGACCTTCTGCACGAACATCAGTGACCCTGTATATGCACATCCATATATGGAGGTCGTATGACAGATCTTCCTTATTGCTCGTGTAAATGGGGTAACATGGGCAACATGTTCGCTTTTCCTTGACAAAGGAAAAAATTGTCAAGGACGAAATTTGCTCGTGTAAATGGACAACAAGGAAAATGTGGAAAAATTGTCAAGGAAAACTTGTTCTTCGTTTACASTAGCAAAGAGACATTGTCAAGGAAAAATTGTCGAGGAAAAATTGTTGACCATTTACACGGGCAATTTTTCCTTGTCAAGGAAAAATTGCTCGTGCAAACGACGCTTTATCAAAGCGCTCATTTCCGTTTTTTATCCATTTTTTTATCCTGAGCGTACCTCATGTGCCTTAATGTCTCATTTTTCTAATCTGTTAACTGCTTTTTTTACAAAACATCGTGTTTCAGTGTATCCAACTGTCATAACAAAGGAAGGAAAGCCGTGTGCCTTTCCATTCATGTACGGTGGAGTTTGTTATAGCGCTTGTACAACGGTTRATAACGGGGGGGTGTATTGGTGTTCGTATGATACTGTGTACAAAGGCGCATCTGGAACCTGCCCTCCGTAGATCAACTAAAACGTAGATAAACCATTGGATAATGCAAGTATCATAACAAAATGTTGAAAGCCTATGGTCCTAGACATTTTACTATGGACATTGGTGCACATATAACTACAAATCACTTATCATTTTTGTAAAAACTCAACAGAATTCATGTCCTCCCTTCCCCTCTCCCTCCCCCCCCCCTTTCCTTTTCCGGCTCCTCTCTAGTCCCCCGTGCATGCACCTTACAATGCTGTGTCCACTTTCATCTTACGATCATTGCTKAGTATGATGCCATCAAGCGTATAACAACATTGTATAGGTGGGGGAGGGGATGGAAGATGAAGAAGGGAGGGATATTGCACAGGGTAAAACATCAAGCTTCGATAGAGTTCAAAAGTATCCTGTCTATGATTGTAGGTGCTTGACATAAATTAACAACCATTCAAACTGGTCGAACCATAGCTAGCTCAGTGAAGTAGTAGACTAATGTATGTATTAAAGCAACTCATTTTACAGATATTAGTAACGTTTAAATCCCTACAACGAAAAACCGTGTGCAATTTGTTTTTTACCCACATTTAGGTCTAAAAATTAGCGAAAATCATTTTTTTCTTTCAACTGAGGGCAAGACGGTATCAGCACAGTGCGCATGTCCTCTTATTGACACACTCTTATCAGCCAATCAGCACGCGAGAATTTACATGCCTGGGTGGCACATGGCASCTTCACCAAGACTTTCCGGTCATTCCTCTTGCTTCCATTCAATTTCTCCTCATGTCTTTTGCATGGCTGTTGCGGAAAGACTTTCTTCAGAYGACTGTGTATATTCATATTCATGGATTTCTGACCCAGTCGTTTCTATTGTTTTCATTGTTTTACGGATCAGTATTATAATTTTGACTGTATATGTTATATATGTACTGATAATTTGTAATTCTTCTCATTTAAATCTGACGATGGACGAGTGATCTAAAGCTTAGATAATATATGTTTGATATTAGTTATATTTTTGAGAAATGCAAATACTTTTTTTGATATTTGTTTTTATATTACAACTKGATAGACGAGGATTACGCAACGCGAAGTGCTTGAAAGTTCGCCTGTTTTCAGCTGTTTTCATTGAAAAAGCTTGGCATTTGAACGAGCTCACACTGATTCAATTTTTTTGTGTTTTCAGTTTCTACTCAGTTTCCACATCTTAAAAATGATCGAAGTAGATGTCTCTCAATATAGAATTACAATTTTTTTTCTTTTCCAGCAACCGAGGAGTCATTGAATCGAGCAAAGCAGACTTTATATAAGGAGGATTTCATTCTTGCCAAGACAACGGTTTGAACCCCATCGGCTTTCACTATTTATTTTTTTTTTTGAGTAGTTTGTGGACTTATGTTCTGGCTTCTTTTGAGCTTTTACAACTTGATATTGAGTTTCTCTTCAAATATAATCATTTTTGATCTATCTTTAAATTGTGGTGAATACTTATTGAGCATTTCTAAGCTGGATTGATGCCGWTGGCATTGAAAACAACTGTACGGTCAACTCGGAAAAGAGCGGGAAAGTCAAGTACTAAGACACGAGCGAGGACAAAAAGGCGGGAGTAGTTGAAATTGAACCATATTTCTTTCAGATCATTAAAAAGATATTTTGTTTGAATTTTTTTATTGCAAAGAAAGTCTCAAATCTGATAAACAAAGTTGTCTTCATTTCCTCGGTCCAACTTATGGAAAATATAGAAGTTGGACTAATTACCATAGCAACGGTCCAGTACGGCTCTGGACGGACCGCGCGTCAGCCAATCAGGAAATTTACAAGTTATATAATSATTAATGATATTACCCAGCAACATTGAGTATTCTAGGTCGAGTTATAAATAATTGATTTTATACGTAGAAGTTTTTCAAAAGGTATTCTCTTGCTAMCTCAGTTGTTTTCTCACGATATTGAATGAACAGGATGATCGGAAATATTCTTGTGATGGTCGCCCTTATTTGCGTCTCCAAATTTGCAAATTCTATAAYTRCTCTTAAAAAYARTGGAGAGGTTATCGTTCAAAAYTTTCACACAAGTGCGGAAGGTATGGTTTTCTCTAAACTCGGCAGCCTTTTGTCCAGTCAAGTAACTTCTAACACGAAAGAATGCTGCTTTAAGTGCGTACAAAACAAGGAATGTTTGTCAGTGAATACGATTGCTTTGGATAAATCGCGATATCAATGTGAGCTTCTTAACTGGGCAGGCTCGGGATTTAAGAGCCATCTCGTCCTAAAAGTCAACTCCAAGTTTATGCAGCTGCAGGTAATGTTGAGTATTTTTTGAGGTTTTGTTTACTTTATTGTTAATACACTSCTGCTGTGCTTGTGTTCAAGCGTATTTATTCACCAAATCTTTGTAGCATTATGTATTTGTCATAATATAATTTGATTCTGTCCTATTGATCCATTGTCTGTACTATGAAATAGTGTTCACCAAATCCGTTGTCGTATTTATTCACCAAATCTTTGTAGCATTATGTATTTGTCATAATATAATTTGATTCTGTCCTATTGATCCATTGTCTGTACTATGAAATAGTGTTCACCAAATCCGTTGT